ATTACTCATTTTATTGTTGTGGTCTAGAACCGAACCAGCAGCATATCTGAGGTACGCTTGTACATGGTAAACCTTCACAAACACAGAGAACATCAGTTTCCACAAATGAAGGTCACAATAAAAATTACACTAAAATTCGAGCCAAATATTAACTTGATATTTTAGGATTGTGATGGCTTTTCTGAGGCACTGAATTGCTATAGCCTCAGTTATTTCACCAAATCCAGAATCCCTGCAATCAGCCTTTTATAGTTTCTTTCCCTTGCAGTTCAGGTGGGACTGTGAATAGGATGGATTTCATTCCCAGGATTGTTGTGTCACATGACCAAAGGGATTTTGCTTGGTGCGATTAAGGTCCTCAATGAGTTGACTTTAAGAAAATGAGATTGTTCTTGGAGAGGACTGACCTAGTCAAGTGAGCCCTAAAGAGGATCTGTGCTCTTCCTGGCATAAGAAATCCAACAGGTCACAGGGCTCCAATGAGAGGATGGTGTTCCTTTGCTGGCTTGAAGTGTGGAAGAGGCTGTATGACAAGGAATGGGACAACCTCTAGGATCTGAGAAAAGCCCACAGCAGACATCCAGCATAGAAACAGGGACCTCAGTCCTGCAATCACCAGGAACTAAATTCTGCCACAATCATATGAGCTTGGAACATGACCCATATGAGAATACAGCCTGGACAACGCCTTTCTTTTAGACCCCAGCCACACCCTGACCAGAATCTGTGCTCTAATAAATGGGAGCTGTTTTAAGCTGGTGAATTTGTGGTTATTTGTTATACAGCACTAGAAAACTAATATAAGGATCTTGCAGTGCCTTCATGTCAACATTATGAACATAATGTATATCATGTTGACAATGAAGGAAGCGGAATCTCTGCTGAACTTGAACTGGCCTTAAACATAAACACTAGTAGCTTACTTGGAAAAATGCAAAATCTTAAGCTCCAAAGTTATTGTATTACTGATAATATGAGTATAGACATTAATGACAGATTTTATAACTATTCATTACATTTAGTATTTGATTGTGTACAAGGGGTTTTAACAGAAACTATACATCATAGGATAAAAAACATACTGGGTTGTGAAGATAGATCTAGGTTAACATCCTGGCTATGACTCTGACTTTGAACAAGTACCCTAAATCTCTCTGCTGTTGAATGGTAAGACCTATATCAATCTTCCAAGGTTCCTGAAGTCATAGGACCCTATATAAAATATCTGTCATGTGCTCAAATAAATTTTATGTCATTTTATTCCTCTTATTTAAACTGTTATCACTTCACTGAAATCAGGGATCCTGACTTAGTCACCATTAAATCCAAAGGGCCTAGTATAGTGCCTGTCACATAGTAAGCACTCATTAATCTTTTGAAAGTAAGATAAACTTATTTACATCCCAAACAATCTTGTGATGAAGATAGTATCCCCATTTTACACATAATACTAATGACCAGAAAAGTTGAATTTCTTTCCTAAGTTTTCTTAAATTACAAAATGGTGAAGTACAGAAAAAAGCTTTCTAAATTTAAGTTTTATGCCACTTCCATTGTACTATATATAGTCTGCACAGGTACCAGAGAGATATGAAACTATCTCAATGAGAATATATTCACATATTTAGTCCTTATGCTCCCCCAAAGGAAATAAAGATTGGCCTCCATTAATCCACATTCCACTAGGTAGAATTCTCTATTAAGCAATTTCTAGTTCTCATTTATGTCTATATTTGCAAAAAAAAAAAAAAGCACAACAGTAAAAATGGATTCCACTGCCTAAATCCCCAGGATTCACATGGTGAGTAAATTCATCAAAATAACTTTGCAGGAACCTACTTCAATTAACCGTTTTGGGCAGAGGAGGTTCTTTCTTTTCCCTTAAAAAATGGTGCAAATCTATGACAACACCAGATGCTGACAAGGATGTGGGGGAACTACATCACTCATATGTTGCTGATGGGAATGTACAATCAAACAACCACTCTGGAATACAGTTTGGCAGTTTCTTCAAAAACTAAGCATATACTTACATACGACCCAGTAGTTGTAGTTCTATGTGTTTATCCAGATAAATGAAGACTATGTCCACATAAAAACTATCCATGATTATTTATAGAAATGTCATGAGTAATAGCACAAAACAACTGAAAGCAACCAAGACGTGCTATAGTAGGTGGATGGTTCAACAAGGTGTGATATACCCATAGTGTGGAATGAGCGAGAGAGAGAGAGAGAGAGAGAAATTGCTACATGAAGCTGTTGCATGAATGAATAGATATCAAGGGCATTGTGCTTAATTTAAAAAAAAAAACAGTCTCAAAAGGTTACATAGCCCTAACCGGTTTGGCTCAGTGGATAGAGCGTCGGCCTGCCAACTGAAAGGTCCCAGGTTTGATTCCGGTCAAGGGCATGTACCTTGGTTGCTGGCACATCCCCAGTAGGAGGTGTGCAGGAGGCAGCTGATCGATGTTTCTCTCTCATCGATGTTTCTAATTCTCTATCCCTCTCCCTTCCTCTCTGTAAAAAAATCAATAAAATATATTTTTAAAAAAAGGTTACATACTTATATTTAACACTAGAGGCCCAGTGCACAAATTTATGCATGGGTGGGGTCCAGCAGGCCTGCCTCAATGGGGGCGGATTGGGCAGGGCAGGCAGGGGGGTGGGGCCGGGTACAGTTGGCTGGCCAGCCCCACCCCCTATCAATGTGTTGCAGTGGCTGATCAGGGCCTTGCCAGCCTGGAGCATTGAGCAGGGAGGGTGGGAGTGCTGATTGTTGCCTGGATCTGGATGGTTGGCCTCCCAGTGCAGGTCATAGCCACCAGTCATTCCGGTAGTGCTGGTAGTTACTCAGTTCTGGTCGGGGTGTGTGTGTGTGTGTGTGTGTGTGTGTGT